ATGTTGATTACAGATACAAATGATCCACAGATGTTATTGCCTAATACAACTGCGTTAGTAAACTTTGAAGGAAATGCAGCAACAAGGCCGTAAATTGAATTCTGATAGATACCGTTTGCCGCGCTAAGGATGACCACTGTGAACATCGTGAAGAAAAAAAACGCTGCGACCACTAAACTTGACTCTGTAAGAGTTGCACTCTTGTGCCTTAACCTACTGCGGTTTTTACTTTAAATCAGTCAAAATAATTTCATCTACCTGGCACCTATCAAAATAAAGAAGAACAGACAAGATGTATGATTACTTTGTGAAGTGTCGATTTTTACGAATACTGTCGTAATTAGGGAAACAATGCCCACGACTACTATTGAGCAGCATATTCTTTGTCTTAAACCACTCCTAAACCTTCACTCTTAAATTGATTTTCCTTAAACTTGTAACTTACTGTACCGCTTGACTAGATGTGGTAATTACTCGAGAGTTGAAAAAGCAAAACGAATAGAAGATCTTTTCAAATGATAACGCTTAATTTAAAACAAAACTAACTTCGTTTCAACAAAAATGTTGAGGAGACTGAGCAGTAAATTTGGCAGTTGTGAACAAATTCCTATATAGCTGAAAAACTGCTCTGAATAGTTCGTTGACACCAAAGTGCCATTTTCATTTATCATAAGTTTGTAGTCGATATAATACTGAAAAACGCTGTTTATAAATCCTTCGTATACATTTATAAAAAGAAGCACTTGTAACGTGAGTACTGTAAAGAAAAAGTAACAATCTTATATGCAAATGTTTCAAAAAAAGAACTGTTTTTTCTTAAAGCACTACATACCCGAAATTCAATGTACTATACAGATATCCAAAAACTATTTCAGTAGAACCCATAATTGCCCTTTGGAATAATTTACGAAAAGGCATTCTAATTAGAGCTAAAAAAAAGAGAAATAGAAAAAAAAAGTTTACCACAGGTGCAATCGTAATAAACATATTCCAGGTCATTAAAGCTCCAATTCCATGAAGCAGTATAATGCAGTAAACGACGTTGTATTTATCTGTTGGCGGTCTATGCGACATCATGATTTCCGTCTCAAAATTTGAAAACCCTGTAACTTACTCAAAGTAAAAATACTGCACACATAGAAAACTGATAAGACGTTTACTATTTCAATTTATTAAAGAGTACTTTCTCTCAAAAAAAGTCCATACGTAAAGTACTGCTACTGCTTCTCCATTTCACTGTAACAGCGTTATAGATTTCTCAGGTTATAACAATATATCTGCAACAAAAAAAAGTAATTTATCTGGAGAAGTAACTAGATTAGTTCCAGCACTTCGACCTAAAAAAAAGCACTTCTGTTTTGGTGCATAAACTTTAACGAAACTTCTTTCTTAATCAGTTACTGGATTCGCAATAGTTAATAAACGTGAACAAGAAGTTTAAATTGTTCTTAGCAAGCTTAAATCTTCATTTCTGTGAAATTTTGTTGCAGTCAAAAAACTTAATATTTCAAGAAGTAAAATGGCACCTCAATTCACGTAAATCCAATATTTAATTCGGGAGATACAGCTAGTAGAAACTAGTAATTTTTATTAGTACAGAAGCCAATACGATAACACAATTATAAAAGGTCGATCGTCCAAAATAAATTTTGTAAACGTTAATCCAATTGAGACA